TTCCACCCATCCCAACGGGAACAGTACTACAGCAACAAAACAATAGAATAAACAACCAAGTAGTCAAAGATGAAAATAAAAGTAAAATAAAATCATAAGAGAATGAAACATCTTTTATTATTTTTCTTTATAACGATATTTCAACATCAGCCCTCCTGAGAGGCTGCATCCTAGTCCTTCTGGTTCGGGGGAGCACCCCTGAGCATGGGCTGCTCCCTCACTGGGCACTGACCAAAGCCGGCCGGCACAGCTGTCCCGGGACACCGCCTGCCCAAGACCCTGCATTGGCAGCTGCAGGGGACCGACCCCGGCTGCCCCTGGATCAGCAGCCGAGGCGGTGCTGCCCCATGGCTCCCCACCGCTCCCTGGAGCGGCAGCCGCGAGGGTCCCACCCCGGCTCACCGCCGCTCCTCGGCCCAGCGGCCGCGCCGATCCCGCGCCGGCTCCTGCAGCTCCCGCGCTGCCCCAGCCCTGCCGCCGAACTGCCCCGAGAGCCCCCCGCCCACCCCATTTATAGCCCGCGGCCCGCACAGTCCCGCCCCCCCGGGGCAGCCCAGCCAATCCCAGCCCCCGGCAGTGCCCAGCCCCGCCAATCCCCGCCCGCCCGTTCCCGCCCTGCCCGTCCCCAAGAGCCCCGCTGTCCCCTCAGGCCCCGCTCCCAGGGGCTGCTCCGCTCCCGCCCGCGCCCCGCCTCCCTCCCCTTCTCCCGGGAGAGCTCCCGGACGGGACGGGACCGCGGAGCTCCCACCGCCCTTCCGTGGTCCCAGCAGCGCCTGAGGGGAACGGGGGGGCGGGGCCGCGCGGAGGGGCCGCGCCGCGGCTGAGCGGGCAGAGCTTGCGGGACCGCTGCCGGATTGAAAAGGCGGGCTGTGATTGGACGGCGCCGAGAAAGGCGGGCCGGGATTGGCGGGTCGGACGCTGCCTCGGGCCGGGATTGGCGGGGCTTGGAGCCCGCGGCCGCGGGAGGTGCTCGGGTGGTCGGGCGGAGGGACGAGGGCCGTGTCGGAGGGGCCCTTCCCGCGGGTCCGTGGCTGTCCCGGGTCCTGCCCCCAGGACCCCGTCCCCTGCCCCGCCCCTTGGTCGGGCCGCACTCCCGGGGTCCCGGCCCCAAGGCCCCTGCAGAGCCCCTCGGGGAGCCCCCCACCGGCACACGGGGCGGTTCCGGGTCGCGAAGGCGGACTGTGCGGCATCGGGGACCGGGGAGCAGCGGCGACGCGGTGGGACGGGAGTCGGCGGCGGGGAGGACGCAGAGCAGCAGTGTGCCTCTGACTGCCTGTCCGCACGCAGCAGTTCTGCTTCTGTGGGGACTTAGACTGCCCCGACTGGGTGCCGGCTGAGATCAGCTCCCTGGTCGAAATCGTTAAGCGCCCGCTCCCACCCCCTATCCCCCTGCCCGCCCCAGGCCCACTGCCCACCCTCCTTCTCCCACGCAGTACCCGCTGATGCTGAAGTTGATCTGCACCCAGGTTCTGCGAACCAATCTCTGGCATGCCTCTCTGCAATCCCAGCCCTGCAGTTGCTATCCCAGTCCTACAGTGATTTCAGCTCCAGCTCCACGTCTTCCTACCACCAAGTGAAGTTGCTCCTTGATCAGAGCAGGATGTTTACTTCGGGTCCAGCTCTAGACACTATAGTCCATCTTCAGTCCCAGAGTAGCTATCCCAGCGTATGGGGATAGGGCTGGAGGTGGAATCACTGAGGGGCTGGCACAGTGGTTCTCCACATGTAGTGCTGAGGGACTCACTGTGTCCTCTTTTCTTGGCAGCAGCCATTGGAGAAAACAGAAGAGGCATCGTGTAGCACAGCGAGGCCAGAGTGAGTGAGCAGAGGAGTGGCCTCAGGCTGGAGAGGGGCAAGAGAAAGGCAATGTGGGCAAAGGGACCTCCCTGTTTTCACCAGGTAACCTGCTGGGTTGTAATATACTTAAGATGCATTTGCTGTGCATCCATATGGATAGGCTGCAAGCACGGGGGAAAAGTCTCACCTTAGAATGGTGACATGAAATCTCCTTCTATTAACCATCACGCATTTCTTAGTACCTAAAATCTATTTAATGAAAACCAAAACATCAAACAGTGGATTGATCAAATTGTGCCCTGGCTGCAGCAGATGCCTGACTGCACTCAGCAAATGGAAGGTGCCTCTGGGGACCAGTGGGTACTCTGGATGCTCATGCTGTCAGAGCTCAAAATCTAAGCTCTCAACAGAGAGATCTGAAGAATTTGCAGGAAAAGAAACTGCTTTCTGGTTCGTTCAGCTTCAGGAAGCCACAGTGGCAGATGGCCAAATGTGCAGTCAGTTGGCTGCAAGACCTTTAACTCATCGGACCAACAGTTACTGCAGAAAGAAAAATAAAAATCTATCAGAGGAAGCTGTTCACGGATAAAAGTCTTCATGCATGGTTCTGTGCAAGTTTCTTTATGCCATTCCTTCAGTTTTAACTCCATTACAAGTGATTCCAAACCTTCTGTTTCTGAAGATCTCATTTATTCGGGTTGCTTCTCCTCTGACATTTTATCTGCATGTCCTGCACAAAGTTTCTGAAGGCTGGTTCTTCATGACTCTCCTCAGTCACTGGGGGAAGAAACGACAGTTCAGCGCTATTTCAGTACTTGTTCTACTTGTGTTACTGAAAAAAAACTAGAATCAGGATAGCCAAAGCAACATAGAAAGTCTACTCCGTCTTCAACTACATTACAGGGCAAAGGAAATAAGTGGAACAGGGAAAGAATGAAGATTAAGTCTGTGAGCTGTATAAGAGAAAAATCACACTGTAACAACATAGAAGATTGCTCCAAGACCACAGTCACAGGAAAAGGGAAGAGAGCCAGGTGCAGAAACTGTAAGGCCAAAAAGATGATGGACACATCTGTGCATCAATCAGGTTCAGAGGTCACTACATGGCCCAAGCCTAACAAGTTCTCTGGTTTATGTGTGTTATATACCTATTAATTACATGAATAGAAAATTTACAATTCAACTTTCACAAAGGTTATAGAGTGATATCCCTGGACTGACCATTGCAGCTAAACTTCTGCTACAGATTCTGACACGTCAGGTGACTGAATGTTTGCTTGTTTTCTAGGCTCTCCTTACAGTCCATCCAGGTCATGAAATATAGAGGGGATTTCTTGACTAGACAGGCAGCTTTTAGACCTCATTCCCTTACCTTCATGGTCAATGTCATCAGTGTCACTCTCCCTCTCTTCTTGCTCTTCATCGAGAGTTCCTCGTGTTAGAATTAGCTCAGAGGGACCCATTGCAGAAGTATCAGGTCCTTGAAGGGAACAGAAACAGCTGTACACAAACCAGCTTGCTAAAGGTAAGGGAGTGTGTGCACTGAAAACTTCTATCTGCACAGAAACACAGCAATGAACACCTGCTCTAAGGGGATAGAAAGCTGCTTGTGGATCCCAGACACAGGACAGACTCCATCAGCACCTACTCGCCTCATATGAGGAACAGAGCAGCCAACAGCAGAGCTTCCTCATATTCTAGTCTGACTGTTTCACCTTTTCTAAAGTATTTCATCATTTCTAGTAGGTCCACTGCTTTAGCTACACAGCGGGGTTTCTTCCAAACCTGTGACTGACACAGGAAGAGCTGAGTGTGACCAATCCCACAGGAACTCAAGCCCCACTCCTCTAACATGGAGCTGCTTTCACACTCCTTGTGAGGACAAAGAAGCACCGTATTACTGCACAAGGCAAACTCTTCACAAAACTTCTGCAGTAACCTTTATCTTCCTGGGGAGGTACCTGCCAGTGTGCTGCCCTGCACACACACACTGCCCATGTCCTTCCACAAGTGTTCCAGCTGCTCTCTCTTTTGCTTATTTTCAGCTTCCTCCTGTAGATAAAGATTTACATGTGGATTCTGAGAACATTTAAAACATCAGAAGAGAAACCTCACCCAAACCCAGCAGTCTGTCCCCCAGTCAGAGAGCAGAAGTCACTGTGCAGGTCTTACATTTCAACTAAGGTTACACAGAACTTCTGACTAAGCATGGAAAGCAACCTCCAGTAAGGTGGGATTCCAGGACATTTTCAGCAGTGCCGGGAAGCCAAACTCTGTGTAGCTGTGCCTGCAGAGAACTGTCCTTTGGACAGCCAGAACTCAAGGTGAGCAGAGCTACTGATTTTGGCACTGCAATTCAGTCTTTCTTACTAAGTCAAAGTAGTACTCTTTACTTTCCCCCTTACATCTCTCACACTTTTCCCCTCACATTCCCTAGACTTTTTCTCCCCTCACTTTTCTCCTACTTTCCCTTTCATGTTCTTCATGCTTTTCCCCTCACATTTCTCAAGACTTTCCCCCTCTCGTTTTAGCACTTTCCCATTCACATTTCCTTGCTCTTTTTCTCTCCTCAGGTTTTCTGTCCTTTTCCCTCTGATGCTGGCCACCATTTCCCCTCATGTTTCTTTCACTTTCCCCCTGATGTTTCTTTCATTTTCCCCCTCTTTTTTTCATTCATGTTTCCCACCCTTTTCCCCTCACATTTCCCAAACCTTCCCCTTTGCGTTTCTCATAATTTCCCCCTCACACTTTTTTCTGCTTGTTTCCCACCCTTTTCCTATCCCATTCCCTGGCCTTTTCCCCGTGCATTTCCCCTCATGTTCCCCACTTTCCCCCTTCATGTTTCTCACATTTTCTCCCTCACACTTCCTGCCCTTTTCCTCATCACATTTCTTGCCTTTTTTCCCCTCATGTTTCCCACCTTTTCCCCTCACATTTCCTGGCTTTTCTCTCCTCCATGTTTCTTATGCTTTCCCCTCATGTTTCCTGGCCTTTTTCTTCCCTTACATTTCCCACACTTTTCCCCTCATGTCTCCTGCCCTTTTCCTCTCACATTTCCTGCATGTTTAAATTAACTGACAGACGAGATTACAGACTGGCTTGTGGGTTTTGCGCGTACAGAGCAAAGCTGCAATACTGCATTAATGAGCCTGTTGTCTGTTAATGGCCATCTACACAGAGGGGGGGACAGTGACCTCTCCGCCTGTCCCGTGCTGCTCCAGGCCAGAGTCATGCCTGGCCGTGTCCAGGGGCCCTCACCAGCAGGCCGCGCAGGGTGCCGCGGCTGACCGGGCCTGGGACGGGAGGGGCCGCGGAGCGCGCTGGGAGGCTCCGTCTCCCGCGCCGGCAATCCCGGCTGCCATCTTGTGCGTGGCGACAGCCCCAGCAACGCGGGTCCCAGTGCAGCCTCAGGTGGCTGCAGGCGTGGATGCGCTTCCTGAAACGTACAGGTGCTGTTTCCCGTCTCTGCAGGGACCGTTCGCGGCCGAGGCCGCCCCCCCTTTGCTGCGAGCCGGGAGCTGAGACCCTCCCACCGTGGCGGCATCCGCTCGCTCTCGCCCTTCCTCCCGGCACGCCCCTCCCATCCCCGCCCGTTCCGGTCCGGCAGCGTGAGGTGATTGGCTCCTCGGGCCCGGCAGCGTGAGGTGATTGGCTCCTCGGGCCCGGCAGCGTGAGGTGATTGGCTCCTCGGGCCCGGCAGCCGGAAGCGGGAGATTTGAACGGTAACGGGCTCCCGAGGCGACTGCGCTGCGGGGTCGCTGCTCCCAGCGGGGTTGAACTTGGGAGTCTCTTGGTGGCACCGCCCCGGGGACCGGGACTCGCTCGCGCCTGTCACCGGATAGCCCTGACGGGGTCCGCCTCGAACTTGCCCATGAGAGCAGCCGCCCTCCCCGGGGCCGCAGCCGAGCCGCTTCCCGTGCCCGAAAGCGCGAGCGCGGGATACGATCTCTCCTCTCGGGAGCTGAGAAGAGCTGCCTGGCCCCCTGCGGGTCGCAGAATGGCCGGAGGTGACTATGCGGAAGTTCTCAAGTACTATGAATTACACGGAACAGTCGGCACAGGTGGGCTCAGTCTGGGAATGCAAACAGGTGGATGTGAGGTGTTCGCCCGCCTGAGTGTTTACCTGAGCAGAGATTAACTGTTTCTGCGGAGGCTGTGGATCGTATTTCCAGGGTGTATTTTGCGAGGCAGAAGTCTGGAAATGTAGCTGGAAGGTAGTGGAGTGATCACTTTTTCTCCTAACAAAGGTGCTGCATGCTGTGCATATGGGACGTGCTCCAGGGCGATTGAGGTCACAGGTGAGAAAGCTTGTTGCCATGCAGAGCTTTACACATCTCTGTTTCAAATTCTAGGTGGGTTTGCAAAGGTAAAACTTGCGCGGCATCGTCTTACTGGTGAAAAAGTTGCGATAAAAATTATGGACAAACTTGCTCTACAGGTAAGTGAAAAGATACTTCTAAGTCGGTAACGTGCTGTTCCTGTGGAGTTCTTGGGAACATGGGTGCAACTGTCTCTGTGGGCTGGTGGTGGATGCTGTAGGCTTGAAAGAATGTTAACAGAGCACCACAAATTCTGTGCCCTCATGTGGAGTGGGCAACATTCTCTGGCTGTAAAACTGAGGGAGTTATAGATTTAAATAATGAATGACAAAGTAAATTACAGTAATTCAAACACAGTGCTGATGAGAATAGTAGCAATTGTACATCTGCCACTTGGGGCTTTGCTGTCTAGTGTGTGAGCAGTGACAGAGCTGGAGCTGCTTGAGTTTGAGCAGTTGGACTGTGTGCTGTGACATTTAATGTTGTGCAATAGTCTACTTACTGTGATGTACAGGCTGTCAAACTAGTTGGCAATTTCGTAGCTTGTCGTTGTGTTCTCTTAGGATGATTTGCCTCGTGTTAAATTAGAAATTGATGCCATGAAGGACTTGAGTCACCAGCACATTTGCCGGTTGTATCATGTGATTGAGACACCCAAGAAAATATTCATGGTTTTAGAGGTAAGAAACTGTATTTCTGCTATGACAAAGGTCCCTGGGTTTAGCTATAGCAGCGGATGGTAACAAAGTCCAAATGAAACAATTCTTAGAAAGTCCTCTCAATGGCAAGTGTGTCCAAGGTGCCATAGTTTAAAAATAGAGCTGGCAATATGTTCTGTCCTAACTAACTTTAATTCCCATCTCATGCTCCAAAAACTAGCACCAATAAGATACACAGGACCCCATAACTCCCACAGAGTTGTCACCTCCTGGGCAGTTCCTGTTGCCTGTGATGTTAAAGTGACATGTCTATAGCAACACATCGGGCAACAGTCGGGCTCCTGGGCTTGTTGGGCCTGTTGCAGGCTGGCCTGGGACACACTTGGGTGCTGCTGGGATAAATCAGAGGGAAAGGAAGAGTGCTTTCATTCGTGTTTAGATTTCATGACTATTCCAAACGTTTTCTTTCTCCTACCTTCGTGCAGTACTGTCCTGGAGGAGAGTTGTTTGATTACATAATTTCTAAGGACCGCCTTTCCGAGGAGGAAGCTCGTGTATTTTTTCGGCAGGTTGTTTCAGCAATTGCTTATGTGCATAGTCGAGGATACGCCCACAGGGATCTCAAACCAGTAAGTCTGAACAGTAGTCAGATTTGCACAAATAATAATGAAGACCCAGTTTTATTTCTCAATATGGAGCAGGTTTATCTAACATTTTATCTAATGTTTACTGAAAGAGCACTATTTCTACTTGATGCTTTGTTCCTCAGCTGAGCTGGATGTGTCTGTATCTGAGGAAGGAGCTTCCTCTGAAAGAGAAGCAGAAGAGTGCACTCCAGTTGAGACTGGAGCAGACACAGATCTGATTTTGGTGCTTAGGCATTCCTTCTATCCTCTTTATTTCAGCTTGTACCCAGAGAGAGTTGTTATGCTTCCTCTCTGTTGTGCAAACTGTCATGCCCAAAGGAGAATGGTGACCCCCACAGCTTAAACGAGTGGAGTCTTCACAGGGCACAGGGGGAGGGACATGCCACAGGACCTGTGGCTTTGCTGTCACTGCAGGGTTTAAGTGTGGGTTTAGGGAATGGAAGCCTTGAGACCATTTCTCTTTGAAGGGGTTAGAAGTTTGCATGTTTAGAGACGGTGGCAATTCTGAGAAAAGCAAATTCTTGCTGTACAAGCATTTTACTGGGCAGCTCATGAAATCATTGTCTCCAAAGAACTTCTCCCCAAGGAAAACCTTCATTGTGCCTCTTGGAAGGAGTTGTCTCGTAGCTGGAGTGCTGACAGATTTATAGGATCATGTCATACCTTGGGTGGGAAGTGACTTCTAGTGGCTTCTGTTTGAATCTGTTACTCGAAACAGCATCAGACTGAGCTTCTTGGGGCTTTATCCAGTCACATCTTGGACCTCTCCCAAGGATGAGGCACAATGTCTCTGCTTTCTTCCTTATGAAGAGAAAGGGTTTTCCTTAGTTCCAGTCTGATGCCTCTTGTCTGTCATCATCCCACCACATGCTGCTGTGGAGGGGCTGACTCTGTCTTCAGGCCCCCCCTTGAAGGAATTAAAAGGCTGCTATGAGGCCTCCACTGACGCTTTCTCACCCACAGACTGTCTCTCCCTCAGGCTCTCCTCGCTGGAAAAGCACTCCAGCATCCTTGTCAGGCTTGTGCCTAACCATGGAGCTTACCTTAGTTTGATGTCTTTCCTGTGCTGGGAGGTTGGGCAGAAACTTGATGGGCTGTTCTTGCTGTGCTGAACAAAGGGTGAGTCAGTTCCCCTACTCTGCCAGCTCTGCTCCTTTTCATACCATCTGGGATATTGCTGGCTGCCTTTTCTGCCAGGGCAGGCTTCTGCCTCACACTCAACTTCCTGTCTAGCAAACTTCCAGGCCCTTCTCAGCAGGTAGGAGCTTGTATTCCCTGTCCAGAATACAGGACATATTCATTAACAACTGGTCAAAATCTCCAGAGGAGAGGTCTAGGTAAATTCTAGCTGCTAATGGCAAGAAGAAATAATGTGAAAGGAAATGTTTCTGGAATGACTTGGGTTACAGAAGAATTCATTATTGCTTTCTCTTTTACTAGGAAAATTTGCTGATTGATGAGGAACATAACCTGAAGCTGATAGACTTTGGACTTTGTGCAAAGCCAAAGGTAAGAGTGTCAGTTGCTCTCACAG